CAACAGATCAAACTGAGTACCATCGGTGCCGCAGCAAATATAACTCGCCCAAGTAAAAAGATGAATCACTCTTGGGTCTCGTCAGAAACCCTCACTATTCGCCAAAGAAGAAACTCGGCGAAGCGGGAGTTTTTACAGAACCTTGAAGGGATGAAGAAACAAGAGCTTCGACATCTCGTGGAACAGTCAACAGGAGTTACCGCTGTGACAAGCAACACTGGACGGAATGAAAAACGCAGAACCTTCAATATACGGCTTTGAAGAAAGACTGGAAAACGCTGTACAAATAAGTGAACATCATCACCAATGGCAACATACATAAACCCCTAACTTTTTGATTCGCAACAAGTCCAATTAGCCCTTTCCAGATTCAGGCAGTCGTCGGAACAAATGGGATGAAGAATTCGAAAAGCTCCGCTCCCATGGACGAGCTCGAAAACCGGGAAGAACTGGAAACTAACTTCTCTGTTCCATCGAAAATGAAATCTGAAGTGTCATACATCTCGGCCGAAGTTCGAAATCCTGCGAACACGGCATAATTAATGCGAAAATTCTGAATTTCCCGGACGAAACCTTACTGAAATGGATTCATCTGATTTTTGACAGCATCTGGCGGAAGCCAGAAATTCCTGAGAACTGGAAACAGGGCGTAATCATTCCCATATTCAAACATGAGAATCATTCCGACTGAACTAACTCTCGCAGGATCACGTCTGTGCTTGTGCTGGAAAAAGTACTAGCGCGAATCCTACTCTGAAGACTGACGAACGCAGTTATTCGGTTTGATCAAATAAAACAGGGTTTCGAACTGGACTCGTGTGCATGTGCAACATCGCTGCACTGAAAAACATAATGGAACAAGGAAGGAGCTTCCACTACCCTGACATACAGCATTTCTCGATTTCCGAGCAGCTTTCGACTCGGTACACCGTCAGTACTTGTGGAGCATACTGCAATACTATGGAATACTGCGGAAGATTATCGATCTGCTGAAAGCACTAAAGGCGCCATCGTCTTTAGAGCAGAAGAGTCGTTCTTGGACTGGTTTAACATCAACAGCGCAATGCGCCAAGAAGAAGGTTTTCTCCTCTATTGTTCAA